ACGCAGTGAGGCAGAACTTCATGGCTTCTAGTCAGAGAAAACTTTTCATCTCTTCTTTCTTTATTGATGAGCTTTTAGACAAGCTAGCGTTTGCTAAAGCTTTTCCGGGTCCTGGGGCTAGTTATGACGAATTTGTAAATCCTGGGGCATTGGACTTAGACTTGCATTTGTAATATTACTTTATGTAATTTCAGTTGAATTTATGTTGGAATAATATTGTCCATGAACATTATGAGTTAACCATAAGTATTATTCTAAGCTGCATGGCCAGTGCAAGTCAGAAAAATATCTATTTTCAACATCAGAATGCATCATGTAAATATCAAACATTTCTCAAGATGGGTCAAATGAAAGATTTCATTATACAATGGTTTCAACACACGTAGGTTCAAGAAAATACGAATATTCTTGAGATTCAAATCGAAAGCTAATTTCTTGTTTGCATAAGGTTTCTACATTATTCAATATATCTTCGAGCCTTTGTAGCACTTTAGGATCTTCACAGAGTATCATCCTTGGGATGGACTCTTTGAATTGCTTCGTGTTTTAGAGCGTTGACTTGTTCCTGAGCGAACAGGTTGATTTTGGACAGAAGTAACTGAATATGATTCAGGGTTAGAGGGACATTCTCGTCGGAAATGTCCAGGTTCACCACAAATTAGACATAATCCTTGTGCAAGCCAGCAATCTCCCGGATGGTGTCTTTTACAAACATTACACTTTGGATGTTTCAATACCCTCATTTTGTTCATGAATGACGTCGATTGAATTGTCATTGATTTTCCCTTTTTCGAGTGAATGGCACTATCAATTTCTTGCAAGGGTCTCTTCCCACTTGAATTTGGTCGTTCATTTGGATTGACATTCTTATTCTTCAGACATTCATAGTAATCACTTAGATCTTTTTCGGCTTTGGAGATTAGATCGTATGCCTCAATGAAATCCATAGTTTGAATTGTAGATACGTGCGGCCTGAGGTCAGGTCGAAGTCTTTTGCGAAACTCCTCAATGCGGTCCGCCACTGTACTCACCAGCGTGGGTGCAAATTGAGCGAGATGGACAAATCTTTGTCGGTATTCAGGGAGTGTCATATCTCCTTGCTTTAATTCGATAAATTCAGCACGCTTCTCTTCACGGAATCGAGCTGGTATATATTCCTTCTTGAACGCCCAATCGAAGAATTCCCAAGTCCAAGGTTTGGGTGTGTTTGGATTTTCGTCAGTACGTTTCCACCATTCGTAGGCTTCCTTGCGGAGCAATTGAGATGCAAATTTTGGATGATCAATGAGAGGTATGTTCAAATTTTGTAGTACACGAGCAGTCTGCTCGATCCATTCAAGAGCAATTTGGGGTTCGGAAATTCGATCTCCCAGAAACTCCTCAGCACCATTATCTTTCAAGGTTTTGAAAGTGATCAAACGAGGTTGTGGTGGAGGTGGTTGAAACACAAGGGCATTAGTCATTTGTTGTAAGAAGTTTACCATTAAGGTAGGTAGCATAGCGTCAGGTTGATCTCCAATATTTTGATCATTTTGGGGAACATGTAGTGAGTTCACTTGTTCATTTTGAATAGGAGGTGTGAAACTAGATACTTCAATATGAACATTTTCGTGCCCATTGCTTGGCGCTTGGTTACTTTGATCGTGAGCGGTTTCTTGACTCATGCTACAATAATAGAAATTCCTTCGTTAGGATTCTTGACGAGTTGACAACGGATATTTATTCAGACTATATCGATGTTTAAGTCACTAATCGTGTCATAACAATGCGTCACTTCATTTAACAAGATTGAGCTATCCATAGCTTCTAGCAAGTAGGTTCCTTTGAATTTGACCGAATAGATTGTCAATACATAGTAAAGTGTAGCGATTCTTGATCGTCAGTTTGTCTGTCTTAACAGAGATGTGATAGTATCCTTGACCGTAAGTCAATCTTAGAGAGCACAATGGATTCTCTAAGCTGATCAAATAAGTCATAGATACGAAATAAGGATAACGTCAATTTCCTTGTATGATAAAGTTTTGCAAGGAATTGTTGCTCAACGAACGATTTCGATTCACACAGTATAATTGCATATTCTGTTGTAATGAGTTAGACATCAGAATGGGATACTTTTAGACAACAAAGTTTGTTGATTCTTAACGTTCGTGTTTAAATCAGCAATCCGATCGTCTTCAGTCCACATGAGGATCTTTGACAGCAGCTTCGCGAATGTTATTCAACATTAGGCGTTTCTTCATAGTCATGTTACTTCTATGCGACTTTGCGAGATAGATCAGCTTCCTCAATCGCGATATGATAAGTACGTTGATAACGTATCACAATTTTTCTTTTTATTCTTTCGTCTCTTCACCGAGTACGAAAAATCTACTTGAGTCTATGCTCGATATAATTTCAGTACTAACAATTGTTATCTAATGAGAATTTTAACAAAGTCAATATTTATCTAATAAATTCTCATACCTTTTCTGGAGCAAAAAGATGCGAGAGTCGTGGATGTGACTGACACATTTTTTTTTAAATTCAAATTTTGATCCGAAGATCGGTTTTAAAACCATTTGCTCCGATACCAAACTGTAACACCCTAATCCGTCCAGGTCTGCAGCCCCATTCGGACTAAAGTATTTAACTTGGTAATCGTAAAAACTTAAAACTTTTCAAACACACTTTATTAATACCAATAATATTTTTCATAACATATACAGTACGGAGTATTCAACAATATTGCGGAAGCGATTTTAATATTGACATATCATAAATTGTTTCAAAACTTGTCACATCCATCCCGAAAATCTCGCCCCATCTGCCGCCAGGATCACATTGTGCTTTCTGCTTACCTGCGTGTAGCAAATAAAACACACTACACGCTCAGCGGTAAAGCTGAGTAAGCATATCTAATGTGTCGAACATCCATATAAACTAAATCTAAATTCATAATCAATCATTTGATATCGTGCACACAATGTTCATTTCAGACATTCACAGTTTTGGTATTGTTCAGTTCATATTAACACATTTTATTCAATTCAGATACTATTGCAATAGTGCTCTTAAATTATTCTTAATCTAAGGCCAGATCATAACAACGCTCTTAGCTATTCTTAGTCTAAGGCCAGATCATAATAATGCTCTTAGCTATTCTTAGTCTAACGCCAAATCATAATTTCCATAATCACATTCTTAAAAGGCAATTATTAATCAGACACTTAAACTATCATTAGTTTAAGGCAATTGATTTCGGAGACTTAACTGTAGTCAGTTAAGGCAATCAGACACATAAACTATTATTAGTTTAAGGCAAATGATTTCGGACACTTAACTGTAGTCAGTTAAGGCAACAACAATATAGCGATTGGTCAATAATGGATCGGGCATTCCCAACGAGTAATCCTCTAGTTTGGTCTACGAATCCCGTTTATGAATTTATATCTAATTCATCAACTATTCATATTTTCATAAGTTCATTCTAAGATCTATTCTAGAGGTCTTCTAGATAGTCTTAACATTAATTAGCTAATAGGTATATCTTATAGTTTTTCTAGATATCCTTAACAACATTATTCATCAATTCATACTCTTAGTTCAACAATCATTTCATCCAGAATATTCATCATCATTAATCCATAATATTCATAAAAATGAACAATCAATCAATCATCATAATAACTAATAACAATCAGCGGCCTAGCATCGAGTGTTAACACCCTAGCTTACCGTCATGCATCACATAAGATCCCTTTTAGTTGTTAAAATACCATCTTTATTCCAAGAAATCATCCTTTTATTAATCATAATGGTTTGGTATCAAAATATAGGATTCCATAACTCAAAAATCATATTTTCTAAATAACAATTGATTAATATATGATAGGAAATTCAATTATTAGCTATTAGCTTCATTTTCTTCAATAGTGTAGGGTGACAGTCTACTGTCACTTCTGATAATCTACTGTCTGATGTTCAGAATGGGCTGATAATCGATTATCACACTCT